GAACTTCTTTTTAAATTTAATAAAACACTGCTGCCTCAGGTTTATTTGTGATTTATCATGTTCAGTGCTTTAAAAATTTGCTTGCAGTATCCAAGTATATTATCAGTATACCTCTGAAAGTTATTTCATTAGAAACACAAGACATAAGTAATTGTGCTACATCAAAACTTGCAGACAATAGTAATTTTTATTTTATATACTAGAAGCAATATTTGAAATAGAAGGAATCGGAAACCTCTATTAAGTTTAGTGTTTTACTAATTCTCTTCCTTTAGGTGGTGAGTTTACACGGCAAACAGAAGTAACTTTTCTTCGTAACAATGAAAAGCTGGTTGTGAAGCAGAAGTTCAGTGGCATTGATGAGCATGGTCACCTTACCATCAGCACAGAAATGGAAGGCAGAATACCCGAGATCCCGCCTGGAGCATCAGTCCATATAGAGCCATACACTGAACTCTACCACACTTCTAGCTCCGGTAAGATTTCATAAGAATGAAGTGATGAGAAGGTGCACAAAGCAGAGACTAAGACAATCCAAAAAACATTGTTTTATTCCCTTCTAACAAGTGTATTTAGAATCCTTTGACTTTTATAGAAAGTTGCTTTTTGTCTCTTAGGAAAAGGTTTCAAAAGAAGATGGATTTTGAGTGGGACAATGCAAATATTTCCAATGTTTTCACTGAAAAAATACAAGTTTATCTTTCTCTGAACCATTGTTTGCAAAACACTCTCAGTTTCCCTTTTTGTTGGCCTTTTTTTTTACACTGTTGTTGGCAGTGTACAAGTTGCAAGTTTTCTCTGTAAGTCCACAGCCCTTTAGTAGGAGCTGTACTGGCATATAGCTTTTTATGGTAATGTCATTAAGTGAGCTGTGATCTTTGATGAGACTAAACCCATTATTTACCACTATGTTTCATGTAAACTTAATTTCAATGACTCTGCAAGAATTTATCAGCATTATTTGAGTTGAATTTTAACAACCAACTAGAAAATTACCTCCCTTACCAGAAAATTAATTCCCTTACCAGTTTCCTACATTTTCTCTTCAGTACTCCTCTCTCTGCTCTCTCAATTCCTTTATCACAGATCCTAGGTTTCCCAAGAGAACCATTCTTCATTTGCTATTTACAGGGCAATCTTGTTTTGCTTACTTGTTTTGTTTTCCCCTTCCTGTATAAAATTACAGGCATTTCAATAAAGAAAGTAAAGAAGTGAGGTTGGAGTGTTGCTGCTGGCCAGCCAGACCAGCTGTCAAAGAGCAATACAGGCAAAGCAGCCTGTGGTGCACTCGTGTGCACATGAATACTGGAGAGACTTCTCTTTCCTCCAAGGGTGCACTTTTGGTTTCTAGAGACAGAAAATGGTGTGGTTACATTGTCACTGCCTTATAATCACTAATGTCTGGGTTTGGTAGCCAGTGATGAACCCACTTGTGCTTTGCCTGTTGTCTTGGGCTGGGAGGAGGAGGAAGTGGAAGCAGCAGGAAGCTTCTGTTTTGTGCTGAACAGCTTGAGAATTTGGGCAGTGTCTGCTCTACAGAACATTTGCCTACTTGGCAGAAATGTCGTTCCCAGGAAGGTAAAGTCAGAGGCTGGAAGGAGGTGTCCAGAGGCTGGATTTGATTACCAGGACTCAAGCAGCTGCAAGTCTGCTATCCCATGGCGTATCTAATGGACTTAGCAGACATCCAGCTTTAGCCAGCTGTTGCAAGTGGATTGATATAGGTGTGTTCTGGTGTCCAAACAAAGAATAGTGGTGTTCTGAGGACCTTTCTGTTTGCTGGGAGGATCCACAAGACCAGATTTTTTGAAGAGTTTTGTTCACAATTTTTCCTAATATAGAAAACTGTTGTGAAGCATACAGAAGCTCTCAGACATGCAGTTTCTGCGCTCTCTGAAAATCCAAGGCTAATAGCCTGCAATGAACTAAAAGTTGGGTGTACTTTAGGCTGGTGAGATGGCTTGGAGATCCATTATAAAAATCCAATTAAAAGAACCTGTGAGTTTGCTGAGTTTAATTTTCCTTTCATTACTTGGAAATCCACAAGGCAAAGTTAAATTTTTTAAAAAAGTCAAAATAAATCAAATGGCTCATTTCTCAAAGCTGTGATACCTGAGAACAGAGTAAGCATATTAGTGCTTGCTCCTTTGCATGGAAATGCATCCACTTTCACAGTCTCTAGCCTTTGAAATTCCCATTTGCACTACAAGGACTGCATCCCAAGTCTACAGACAGCATTTGACAGTGTGCTTTGATCTCTGCTCTGATCAGTGTGTTTGCTGTCATGTCATAGTGATCACTTCATCGTCCTCGAGGGAGTACACAGTGACAGAGCCAGAAAGGGATGGAGTTGCTTCCACGTACACGGGTGCCTATCAGTGGCGCCAGACCATCTCCTTTGACGAATGCATCCATGATGACTCCCCCCATTCTGCTCCTGCCACTCAGCAGCTCTCGGTGGACAGTGTGTTTGTCCTGTACAACAGAGACGAGCAGATCCTGCGATATGCCATGAGCAATTCCATTGGCCCCATCAGTGGTATGTATCAATTACAAACTTTGCTTTTTCTCTTTGGTGAGCAATTAAGAGCAGTCGTCCATTTTTGTTCAGCTTGCCCTATCTGGGTGTTAATGAATTAAACAAATTAATTTTGTTATTTGGTGGCAGTCCAGATCCACCAGAGAAGGAGAGAAAAGGGACTGTTGAAAATTTGTGTTTTTACTAGAGGGAGTCTTCAAGGGATGCTCTGTTCTTGAAATTCACAGGGGTTTATGTCTAATTCTTTGAAGTACTCTCAATACACCACCTAGAATCTATTCCCACTTGGATGAATGGAGTATATTGTTTATCTTTACCTAATTTGTAGTTCCTCTATTAATTTTTAAGGGGAGGGGCACATTATCAGAGAAGAGAGCAAAAGAAGGGAAGGAGATTTACCATGGATGAGTTTCTATAATTTATCTTGAAACCTGGCATTTTATCTTTGAATTGTAGGCTGCTTATGAAAGGTATTTTTTTGGATGAGCTCTCCAAGCTCATCAGAAAGAAAGAGACAATTTGAAAATGCACACCAGATGAGCATAAAACCAGGCTATGCTCACTTTTGTTTGTTACAAAATAAAGTTCTGCTAATTTAAATGAATAAACCAAGCTGTTAAGAATAATGTTTTGAGCCTAGTGTCAGTGACTGGAAAATTAATTTTCTTTCTGTCTTGTTTTTGTGGCTCTTTTTAAATTCAGTAGTCCTTTGTACAAGTAACAAGGAATACCAGTGCTATTAAATACGTGTCCAAGATATAACCTTCATATCATCTGCATATCATCCTTTCTTCCTGATGCAAAAAAGTGTGTTTCCTTGTTTAATGTGTGTTATGAGCAGCCTCCTTCCGGTCCTTAACTGGGTGCTATTACTTGGACAGAGTCATCAAGGCTAAATATGGTCTCTCTTGCCAGATGGTTCTGCTGATATTAACCGGAATCCTTGCTACACTGGCACTCATAACTGTGACACCAACGCCATGTGCCGTCCAGGAACTGGGAATCGTTTCTTCTGTGAATGTTCAATTGGCTTCCGTGGAGATGGACACGTTTGTTATGGTATCAGAAGACTTCAATTTACTGCAAAATGAAGGCTTATGTAGAATTTATTTTCTTTGGGGTATATTGACCCTCAGGACTAGCCATTCCAGCAAAATAAACTGCCCTAAGAGGCTGGTTTTAAGGTTAGAAGGCTGCTGGGTGATGGATTTATCTCAATAATCAAAGCAAGCAAGTTTGACTGTCTTGAAGAGTATGTTTTCCTATCTTGCAAAGCATCTTTCCCACCCAGTTCATCTTTTTATAAAACATATGGGAACTTGGTTGTGAGAAATTTACTGTAATGGAAGCTCTGGTTAAAATTAGTCAAGTAGGTTAAAAGTTCTCAAGGGAGATGAGAAATAGGAAATGCACGTGTGGACAGAGCACAGATATGTGCCATTCAATGAAATCATATTTTTCATGATCTACTTTGAAAATACATTTCTGTTCAAAAAGTCTCATATTTCCCAGTTTTGCCTAGCTCTGTATTCCTAGTGTATTTGGGTTTTGCCTTGCAATCAAATCACAGCACAAATACTGGTTTTCATTAAGTGAAAGTGTTTGTTAATGTAATGTGTCATTCCTATTACCTTAAAGTGTTTTGGGGGTTTTTAGAACCCAAAGCACAACTCTCCTTCCACTCTAGCCCTATAATCAACTTGCAAATGAAATCAATGGCATCACACTATCCCTTCCAGTCCTCTGATGCTGTGAGTTGGGCAGCAGTGGATTAGAGATGTGTATGGATGATGAAAGGGGAAGCCTTTCCTAGAGTTCATGCTCCCCCAGTAGTTATCATTGCTTCTGATCACCTAAGGCTGAATTTTCTTTGGCTCCTCTTTCCTCTGCAATTTCCTGTACCTTCCCCTTATTACTCCATGATAGAACTCCTGGTTTGTTTTCTTCTTTTTGGTGCAGATTAGCTGAGGACACAGTTAGGTCAAAACTTATTTTCAGGTTATTAATAACTCTTGAGAGGTATGATCTATCCAAGCTGCGGCCTAAGTACAGAAGACTGCTATTAACCTAGTGTTTTTCTGGCATCTCTATTAAATGCATTTTTTGTAATAACCAAGATCCTTTTAATACCCTAGATATTGATGAGTGTTCAGAGCAGCCAGGGCTGTGTGGCAGCAATGCAGACTGCAACAACCAGCCGGGAACCTACCGCTGCGAGTGTTTTGAGGGATACCAGTTTGCAGCAGATGGGCAGACTTGTGTTGGTAAGTTTCATGTTTCTTGAAAGCGTTGCCCACCAGCCTTTGAGCTGTGATCCATCCCACAGGGACAGAAAACAGTGCTTCACAATCTGTGCTGATTTTTAATTTGAGTGGAAATCAGGAGTTTGTACTGCAGCTCATGATTACCAGGTTTTTCTGCATTTTCTAAGTGCTGTGCTTTCAAATTTTTAGGAGTTTGTGTTTTGTTTCTTATCCAGAATTCAAATTAACAGATGAGGTTTCAGTTATAGATTCATCCCTTGGACAAGATAGTGCACAGTTCTAAACCAGTGTGTCTTGGCTATTGCTGACTTATTCTAAAGTGATAATTTATCATGATGAAAAGGAATTGTAGCTGCAGATCACTTCACTGTTAAAATCCTTACAATCTGGCTCTTAGCTCATTTCTAATGAATCATTAAATATAAAATTCAGTAGTTGTCACTGAAATAGTTTATTTTTCTGTAATTTAATTTCTTTTTTCTGGAGGAAGCCTGAGTTAATCTGTATTTGCTAGACTAAGGTTGTCTAGGGATATTTTTTCCTGCTTTGCCCTGTTTTTCACTCAAGTTGTAGAAATTCCTTTTGGAAAAAGGACTCCACAAATGGTAGATGGAAGAGGTATAATGACAAAAAACAAAAGAGGAATAATGACTCTACCTCCAAAGCTGCAACTGTCAGGATAGGATGGAGATTAGGTTTTTTGTTTGTTTTATTTTTTCTTGTTAGAATTTTTATCCGTACCAACAAAACCTCTACACACTCTTCCAGTATGGCTGGAAGCCTTATGCTTCCAGTACAGCTGGGAGTTCCTCTTTGTTTTGGAAAGAAGTGATAACAACTGAGGATATTTTGCTTCTGTTGTGACAGCTTTGTGGTGGAAGTTTAGCTACCCTTTGATCAGTTAATGCATCCAGGTTGCCGCTCATTATAGTCAAGACTGTTCTTCAGCAAAGACTGAGGAGTCTTCACCTTACAGCAGAGAGTTGCATTACTTTCCTTGAGTTTGTGACTTTGCATGCTGTGTATTGCACTCAATCAGAAGCCAAATCTCTCTGCTCCAGTAAGAATTACAATTCATGTCTGTTCCTTAAGTCACAGTGCACCCTAAATCTCTTTGTTGTGGAACAGTCAGAAAAAGCAGCTCCTTCTACCAAGGCCACTGGAAGGGACAGAGTGAGATGTGGAAGAGCAGCTTTTATGTTCCTTCTGTTATGTCAAACACTGCACTTTTGTGACTTGGACCTGAAAGGGAACATTCTTCCCTCCAGCCATGACCTCACCAGCTTCATTTTACCACTTTCCCATGAAGCTGATGTTCCACTTTTAGCAAGTGCCAAGTAATTCCTTGCCCAGCTTGGAGGATTTCAGCTTGATCCCTTCCTTCAGCCAAAACCATATTGCATTTTTAAGGCTGAAGAGAGGAAAGATAAACTCTAAGTTCCCAACAGATTGAAAATAAATGTCATGGTAATCTTTTCACAGTAGAGAGTCTTAAAACCTACAGAGAATTTGAACCCCAGAAGGGCAACAGCAACCCTCCGTGCTTTTATGAGTTGCTCTGGGATACCAGTTCTGACTCAGCTTTTTTGGAACCAGCACTTATTTTCATACCAGCTGTGTGATTCACTGGGTAGCTTTATAAGAGTTGTAAATAAATCTTGTTCTCCTATTTGTAGGATGAGAAACAAAGGCTTGGGGACTCCCTTTGAGCTCAAACTCTTACCTTACATATTTATAATACTGTACTTAATGAATTTCTTTTTAATCCAAAACTTACCTCATCAAATAAAGATATTAATGATTCTAACAATGATGTCATTTCCTCTAGAGAAACAAACAAACAAAAATGAATGTTTTCAGATATGGCTCTGATAGAAGATTTTTTTGTTATTTCCCTGCTGACACTGTGGTAGTTTCCATCTGTGTGCTGTGATGAAATGAACATTGTAGAGTCTTGTCTTGGCCCCCTGTCAAATTGTTGTCATAATTGTGTAAAGGCAGCCTCAGTGTTACAGCAGCCTCTGCTAGAATAGCTGGAAGTCTGTTCTTAGGTGTATGCATTGGACACCCTATTTTCAGGCCCAAAATCTTTGGAGTATTTTACCTCTTCCTGTTTCAAGTACCATGGTTTCCTTTGCTGTTCTCTGACATAACAGGTTAGGCAGAACTCCAGCAACTTCCTGAAACAATTTATGTACAAAGTAGTGTGGTGCCTTCAGAGGCTCAGTTGTCAACATGAGAGAGTTATGAAAAGCTGCAGGTGTGGTCCCAGATCTCTCCAGTAGTTGACAAATGTGTTTATCTCCCATTGAGTGAGTCACAGCTCCAGTTTTTTGCCAATTGACAGCAGCCCTGGGTCACTTCTAGGTTATTGTAGCAGGTCATCTAAATAATTCCCAGTGCAGTGAACTCGCCACTTAGCTAACATATGAGGTAGCTCTGTGAGATGCCTTACATTTCTTCATTCAGGACTACTTTTCATAAACAAAGCTGATATTGATATTAGGATCTATCACTATGGTAGCCTTTCTGCCCCATTCCATATTAACAGGCCCCTGTGAGGTGCTGAGGACAGTCAATTCATTGTAAAACATTAATAAGATTTAACACCCCCAAAAGGGGAGATTTCAGGAGAAAAAAAAGAAAAAATCCTAACTCCCAGGGCAAAAACCCCTCAGTTCCTTGTTTCCTTTCTCTTCTGTAATCTTTCACAGATGTTGTTCTAATGTATGAACTTACTATGAGGCTTAGACTTTATGAAGGAATGTTCAGATTTTCATCTCCTCTCTTACACATTTAACCTGCAGCTGTGGAGTATGTGGTAAACCACTGCCAGAGGGGCACACACAACTGTGACATCCCTCAGCGTGCTCAGTGTGTGTACACCGGAGGGTCCGCCTATGTCTGCACGTGTCTCCCTGGCTTCTCCGGAGATGGGCGTGCCTGTGAGGGTGGGTAGCACCATTTATTGTGGGTAAGATAAAATATTATTTTATACTCTCATTGTGCTACTGGGCTGGTCTTTGCCATGTCCTATATCTACTTGTCATCTCAAGTAGGAAATTTCATAGTCTGAGTCCCTCAGGCAGGAATATTCTTATTACGCATTTCTTTTTTCCTCTTCTCACTTTTGAATTTACTCTTCAATGTTTGGTCTATAGAAGGTCCAAGATAAGTGCAGAAATTGCAGTAGTTGCACCTGCAGACCTTTGTCTGTTGCAACTGTTTGCACTGTATTGGTTTAAGTCACTAAGGCGGTGAAACAAAATGCTCAGACTATGTAAAAAATTTGCATTCATGTCAGTCTGAGTGCAGTGGGGGACCAGCTTTACCTAATTACATGTTGGGAACATGGCTAGCCAAGTTATACTTCTCTTGCTATGTTAAGTCACTTCTTCGGGAAAAATGGACATATATGTCTAAAATACTGTGTGAGTTAATAATGTCTATTACCCTTTGGAATAGGAGAGCCCTGGGATTTGCTGAGATAGAGAACCTGAAATACCTAAAGAGCTGAACCTTTGCCCCTTTTTTTATCTCTCTTGCATTTCTGTACTAGATATATTTCCAAAGAACTGTCTGTATGTCTAATCAGATACCCTAAAATAGGAGCCTGAAAATGTGGCAGGTTTGTACTTAATTTCATCACTCTGATTTGTCCATCAGAAGGAGAACAGTCACCTGAGACTGATCTTTTCTTTTACAGATGTAGATGAGTGTCAACAGGGTCACTGTCATCCAGATGCTTTCTGCTACAACACTCCTGGGTCCTTCAGCTGCCACTGCAAGGCAGGTTATCGTGGGGATGGTTTCCGATGTGTGTTAGGAGGTAAAATTCTATAGTTCTTGAAAATTGGACCAGAAATATAATTTGGGATTTGGAGGATATATATCTTAATTTAGTTTCCTTCTGAAACACAGTGCCTACTGCCATATTGGTGTCTTTATTCTTCTCAAGTCTTTCAATTTTAGGACTTTACCAAGCTTGTGTCAAAATTGTATCTTGACTGCTATCACTTTTCCATGATATCCTGTTCAGTGCCCAATTTAATGTTTTGTTTATTCTATCCTCAGCAGTTTTCAGCCCCAAGCTGATACTATCTTTTGAAGTTGCCTTGTGTAAAGATTTGACCACAGGGGTGATTTGGTTTGCGTACTCAGTAATCACCATAAAATATCTGGAATTGTTGGCAGTGCAAATGAATTCAATATTTACAGGAGAAAAGTGAAAAATGATACCAAAGTCACGAGGCTCTTGTCTGCAGTGAGATCTAGATGCCTATGCCACATACAGCCTGTTGCCTAGAAAGACTACAGTGTCCAGCTGGCACTTGTTTCTGTGTTTATCCAGCTTATTCTCTATTCAGGGGAAAGTTCTTTAACCTCACACTTCTGTTTCTCCATGGTATTTTGAGGCTTGAGGTTTAAAACTCATCTTGAAGGTATGGTTAAAAAAAAAAAAAAAAAAAAAAGAGGAAGGAACATTGGAACATAAAGTATTCTTGTTATTTTACTTTAATTCAACATCATGGTAAGCCTATGGGACAGCACACAGGTTTTGTAGATGGTGAATCTTTCATTCAGGAAATAAAGCCTAACTTCTCAGTTTATATTCAAATTCAATTCTTCTTCCTCTGAGATTCTTGCTGTTGGGCATTTCTCAACAGACTGAAACTCAAACTGTACAATCAAGAGTAACAAGAATATCCTAGGGCCAAAAGGAAAGAAACGGTTTGGGGGTTTTGGCTGGGTTGTTTTGTCTGTTTTTTTTAATAGTGGAGGTGATTGCTTCAAAATGCTTGTGTGTGTGGTATGATATTACTACTTGAGCCTTAATATTTTTATTTTGCCTCTATATTCCCTAATTCTGAATTTCTGACTTTTTTTACCCCCACAATTGGATGCTCAGCTTTTGAAACCAAAAGGCAAAGGATTGTACAGAGGAAAGAAAAAAAAAAAATCACAAAGTTGATTCTCGTTTTAGATCATATTTACATGACACTTCACTGTGTGCATTATGTAAAGTAATGCATTATGTAAAATCACCCAGTGCTTGTAGATATTTATATCATATGTAAATTTCAGGAGGTTTTGAAGTGTTTGATTCTGAGGCGTAGCTTTCACCACTTTGTCAGTCTTTTAATATATTTTTAGCTAACATTTCATGCATGATTATCATGTGTATTTTCATTTTAGTGCCAGATGAATGAGGAAATAACTGTTGTTTATGATCTGTGTCAAAATATTTGGCTAACTATCCAGCTGATAAAAACAAAATTATTTCTCCTAGAGGAGGAACTTGATATGAATAACTTGAAACAAATCAAACCTTAAAGCTTCCAGTTCTTCAGGCAGAATTATAGTGGCAAAGACATTCCTTTCATGTCTGCCACATGCCCTTTGTTGATGAAACAGGTGGTTTGGTAGACTGATATTTGCAATCAACCAATTAACCTTGTTACAAGGACACAATTAATTTCTTCTGAGTATATGTGATGATTTACTTAAGTAGGGTTTTTTTTGTGTTATTCTTAACACCTTTTCTTATGCAGTGGTTAGTATCTACTAAATTGCTAAGCACGTGGTATTATTTTGTAGTAACTTTTGTAGCAACTTCTTCCCCCTTATCCTGTATGCTCCGTGTAACTTTCTGTGCTCAACACAATTGTGTCTTGAATGGGGATTTTTCCACGTCACAATTTTTACAGTAGTAACAAAACATTTTTAAAGGTTTTTTATCCACTGTTTCAGTGGGTGGAGATCTGCCAGGTTTTGTTAGTGTCCATATATGCCTCACTGATAATTTTTTTTAAACACGGTTTCATATTACCTGTACAAGACAGGCTTTTAGAAATGTATCAATTACCTCTGCTCATTAAATGTTCTGAGCAGTAAAAAAAAATCTGAGTAGATAAGAAGTCTCACTTTTGCTGAATTGTGAGTGAAGTACAAAGTATCTGTGTTGCTCAGCTAGTCTGCAGCAATGGCAATGTTTACAACTGAGTGATTGCTCCCTTCTTAGAGTTAATAGAACAATAGCTGCCTTTGGGGTGTCATCTGTTACTAGAAGTTTAGTGCTTCTAGATGGATAGATCCATCAGTTAATCATTGCCAAGGACAGAAACAAACGATGCTTTCTGAAGCCTCACAAAAGTAGTTTAGTTTACTCTAGCACGATTTGTAAAGTTGCTTCAGAATGAAGATTGCAGAGGAAGCTGTATTGTATTCAGCTATAATTAGAGTCCTTTTCTCCCACTTTTTACCCACTAAGGTTTTGATCTAATAAGCCTCAATGTAGTAACTGAAGTTTTTCCTGGTTGTTAATAGCATGGAAAGTTTCATTCATCCAAATACTCAATTCTTTTTGCTGTTCTCTGTTCCAACCCATGTGTACAATTACTTGCTTGTTTGGTGTCTTTATGATTATATGAAACCTACTGTTAAATATCAATGGCAACTCTTGAAACAAGTAGACTAACAAGAAAAATGGATTTGAGTCACACACATGGAAATGTCTGCAGGAGTGAACTGACAGGTTAATGAAAGAGTTAATGATGCTGGAATGTCCTGCTGCTCCCAGCCATTAAGAAAGTCTGTACTTCATTATTTCCTCACGCTTCATTTTTCCATTTCAAAAAAACCAGATGTCTGAGTGTTTCTACCCCTGCAGACCCCAGACACTGTTTACTAAACAGAAACAAGCCTGGATTCTTGGAACTAGGAGCTGTTAAGAGCTATTCTCTGATCATCTGTGTGCAACTGGTTTCACATGAGAAACACACTTACCAGGACAAAACTGTAAGTGAGGAATTACAAAGGAAAATAAAAGGACAAAGGAAAGCTTTTTCATTCGGGCTTTTTAATTTTCTCCAACATCTGAGGACATCAATTAAAAATGCCAGTTTAAGTCTTTGAATAAGAGAAGTCCATACATCTTAGTTTCTCATTCTTTTACTCAGATTCCACCTTTTTTAAGAGAAGTCCATAAATAATTTTTTACATTGCTGCTACAAGAGCAATCCTCTATGACTAAAATATACTTTGAATATTTGTATATGGCTTTAGTTTGGTTTTTTCCAATCCGTTTCTTTCTTCACACATGTGAGAAGTGTGTATGTGCATGTTTTTATCCTCATCTTTCCATATTCATGCTACTTCCATTTTCATTTTTATAAATTCCATAATCTATTTCAGTCACTTTTAAAATCCAGATTTATACTGGTAATTCATTAATCAACTGAAAAAAAATGTTTAATACTCATCAAATACAAATTGCTCCTTCTGAAGAAGGATATACATCTAGCTGAAGCTCAGCATGCATCATTCTATGTATCTAGTCTGAATCGTACTGTGTTCCGCAGGACACAAATTCTTCATCGTGCCTTTGTTCTCTGTTCTGCTCTACAGCTTCTATCTTACAAGCATTTTTCTGTACACTCATTCAATTTCTCACTGTTCTTTTGAACTGTGGTTGCCAGAGCTGGATGCAGTATTTCTTGAATCTACTCCCCAGACTCATATTCTTCTCTGTGCCTGTATATTCCCTGTGTATATGCTGAATTCTTTTTAATACCCTCTCACAGTCCCTACAGCACTGAGCTGTGACCTGCTGATAGCTTTTTTGGGTTGTAGTTTCAAAGATTAGTCTATCTTTAGAGGCTTGTCTACACAGTTTATTCCAAGAAGTGTGACTTTACATTTACATCCTGTCCTTCTCATGTGGCCTGTTTCACTTCCACAAGTGATGCAACCTATGGTTGTATTATCTTCTTCCAGAAACCAAATGATGGAATTAAATTTCTTAATAGGGAAATTTAAAGGCAAGACTAATGGGAATAATGTAATATGTAATATGGGAATTTACTAAAGATACCACTACTTCGTGACATTTGACTTCTGACTCAGACTATTTCTTTCAGTTTTTAGTTGTTTGCCAAATTAAGTGCAAATGAAAAATCATTTCAAAATTGATACAGTCCTGTGGGCATAAATAGAGCACCATAGGAAAACACGAAGCTATTAGGTCAGTGTATTATCTTCAGCAGTCAAGCATCAACTGCACCAAAACCCAGTGAGAAGGGGGTTTCATTTAATTTTACAGCAAATGCTGATCGTTAATGTTTAAATGCATACACTGAAAAATACTGTAATCTGATCCTGCTGTTAATGAAAAGCTGATGTCACCCCTGCTTTTCTTCACCACCAACAATTACCAAGGTCCTGCTTTTACTAGTTGTTTCATCTCTGGCAGAATGAGCTAATCCTGGTGTATACCATTTTTATCATCATTGACATGATCATTTGTCTTGCCTTTCGATTGTGGGTTTCAAGAATGGCAAGAATCTCCTGAAAATCAGGGCTAGTTATCCCTTGATATGGAGCGTTGAAACAGCCATGGCTTGTTTTCCATTTTCTACAATCAGGTGCAGTAGTAGATGTAACAGCACCGTTACACCATGTAGGTGTTATTTGCTCTTGGCACTACCAGTTGTATTTAGTGGACTTCTCCTTCGTGCCAGCCATGAGATCAGAGAATTCTCCTAATGCTAATTGCTCTGTATCTTTGAAGAGTCTTGACTGGATGAAATACTACAGTATTTATGTTAAAGGCAGGCTCACTAAAAAAACACATTTAGGCTGCTCTAGTGAAGGAAATTTACTCTCTCTTAGGTTTGTGTCTGGATGCTGGCTTACAAAGTAGCCCTTGTGCTATCTGAAAATGTGCCCTTTCTTGTTACCCACTTTGTCTAGCTTGTGCTGTTAGCTTATCAAGGCAGGAAATGTGCTTTATTTGTTGTGTCTATCTCATCTTTCAAACTCTGTCATAGCTAGACTAATTTCAGAGAGTTAATTAATGCAGTTTTAAACTTGCAAAATCAGAGCATCTTCTCCTAACCCCACTGAGTATAAGGTACATATAAGCAGTTTAAGCAGACTATTTATTCCAACCCACTGTCATCTGAATCCAAGACTATTGTGCCTTCATTGTTGCACAAGCTACACTGGACTGGCTTTCAACTCATGCTTCTTTAGGTGCTTCCCAACTCTAAGCATAGTAATCCTGGCCATGATTCAGAGATAAGGAATAAAAAACGGAGAATGGATTCTGAGTGCTTAGTTGAACTATCCTTTCAGTTAGTCACTTATAACTGGTTTATAAATTGTAATATTGGTTAAATTCATATTAGGGAGGCAAAACAAAATGCTGAAAGACAGGTTAAAATTACTGAGTCAGTACAGATGAGCTTGGTAACCCTGGCTATATTTCTTTTCAGAATGTCTGTTTAACATAGATTACTTATTGTACTTGATACTATTAACAAAGTGATTATTAATATAAGGGATTTTCATGAGCAAAGAAGTAGTAAAATACACAATTATTCCTAAAAGTGAGTGACAATAGGGTATTTGCAAATACTTTTATGCAAGTAAAAATTCAGCATTGATGGGTTTTTTAGGAAGAACCAATCATATGCTCTGCCTTCTAGTACTAATTCAGTACTAATTCTGAAATTATTTTTTTTTACAAGTCTCTTGACTTTGGTGTTGTTAAGCGCATACGCAGACCATTTGTGAAGCTGGTCTTGAACACTGCAAGATAAGTTCTCTTTAAAAATGCTATCAGAATTCCTGAGTAAAATCTGCAGATATTAATGTGAACATTGTCTTGAAATTTGAACAGATATTGGTATTTCAAGCCACCAGCAACACGAACATATTTTATGTGCAACCACTGGGTCCTATCTGGGAGTGTATACACCCTCCTTTCCATAATTCATATAGGATATTGATTTAAAAATTGTAACATGTTGGAATATACCCTGTTTTTATGAGTTTCCAATGTGAAGAAGAAAAGGAACATTTTCTATTTTTGTTTTTATATCCTACTGAGGAGGAGTTAATGTTTCTCAAAGCTGATAGGAATGCAACTATGAATTTTTTTCTGCACTGGACAAAACTGTGCGTGGGGGGTAGTTTATCAATACTCTGTGTTCCCCCTGCTTTCTCCCATGAGTAGTGCCTATAATGAGAGTTTAGAATAAAAAACCCGTGTCAAAACCATCTGTTTACTGGAACCAACATTTCTTTTACCTGCATATTGCATAGGACACTGAATACATGAAAACAAAATCTGAGACAGATAATGAGGCTTTCCCACAGGGCCTGGTTTTGTAGGTTGATTCAAGGCTCTCCACCACCTACATTAAAACCAATGCCAAATATTTCAGTTGTTCAGTGAGCTGTTCTCCAGTCATTTATATTTCTCTAATTATGTCCAGGTGCATGAAACTTGTCCAAAGCTTTTGCTTGCATAACTAGTTTAAACATTAATAAAAACCTCGCTTCTTTTTTACAGAACATAGGTTTACACAACAGTCTGTAGATGCATGGGATTAGCTTTTTGCTCAGCTGGGGTCAGTTTAGTCTGAGCCACACAGAACTAATCCTGTCCATCAGGCAGTGTAAAAACAAGGAAAGGAATAAATGGAAATGTGATGTTAAAGACTCTTCAGCAGACAGTTTGCACTAAGTATTTCTAAATGTCTGTAGAAATCATTGACAGGGAAAGGATACTCTCCCTTAATTACATCTTTCTCTCCCAGGAATCCCAAGTGTCTGGAGAAGGAAATATATTATTTTTATTGTATTCTTTTAATTTCATTATGTTGTTTGGCTTCTAGAAGATACATTGATGCAGATGGCTTTCCCTACTGCATGATAAGTAATAAGGTGTAAATTTTAGTTCAGACTATTTTGTAAAATTGAAACTTAAAGAGCCAGATCCCTGAATGTCCTGATCTGACATCTGAAAAGTTTCTTTCCTCTGTAGTCTCTGCAATAATAAAAATATGCATGTTGTGTAGCCAATGCATATGTTTCTCTGTGCTTCACCAAGGAGTGGCCAGCCTGTCTGTCCAATTCCTTTCTTCAATCAAATGAGTGCTCAAACTTCATAACTGAACTTTAAAAACCTAATATATATCATAGCAATGAATTGCTTCACTTCCTAAGATCTGTAGAGAATTTGGCATCTGACTCATGTTGTGGTTTTCTCTTGTGGCTTTGAAGGGAATCTCGACTTTTTGTGTTACAAAAAACTCTTCAGCCACTGTAGGGTCACATTTTGAGGCCCATGGATAACTGCCAATGAGTAGACATCAGGGTCAAAAGTCATACAGAATGTTCTTGCTCATCTGCTTCAAGGAGAACAACCATGATTTCCAGCTTTTGTTTATGACACTTCAATGAAGGAAGATGCAGGGGACCTGTTTGCTCTTGTTTAAACTAGGCAGTAAATGATAAAATAAGTTTAAGGCAAATGTGTCACATTTACAAAGGACAGACTTGTTGAAGCTGTTCTGAAGTCACATGCCTTCAAGGTTTGTAAAAGTGTCATGTTTCACTAGAGGTAAGAATTTTTGTGTATAGGTGGTCAGCATATGTTAACTGTTAATGGACTGTAGTTATTAGCTAAATCAGAAATATTCACTGTGGTTTGTTCTGTTCTGTTGTTTTTTTTCCCCAGAAGTAGAAAAGACCAAATGCCAGCATGAACGCGAAGTAGCCCTTGGCAGTGGAGGTGCTTTCTTCCCAAGGGATGTAAGAGTTGCTCACTTCATTCCCCAGTGTGATGAGCATGGGAATTACATGCCCACTCAGTGCCATGTTGGCAGTGGATATTGTTGGTGTGTGGACAGGGATGGAAATGAGATTGATGGCACCAGAAGCGGTCCAGGAGTTCGACCACCATGTAAGTGGCTGAAGCAGTTGTTTCTTTTGAGTATCTCTCCATCTGAGTGCATTATCTCCCAAATGTGGGGCTTAGTCCTTCCCTAAGATACAGCAGTGACTTGGAGCAATGCAGATTTCTGCTGTCCCAGTGGTGGTATGTCTCATACCCTTCAGTGATCCCAACATAAACTTTTCCTTCAGCTAGGCCATCAGGACAGCTGTGGTAAGCTGGTAAAAAAGATTTTCTAGTTTCTTCCTTGACTTGAAATGGTGAGAGGCCCGGATAGTCTCTGCCCTCTGGGAGCTGTAATAGCTGACTTGCCTCAGGAAATGAAGGATGTTCCTTCCTACATCTTGGTCACTTCAGCTGCAAAATAAGATAGATTTTTCTAAACATTTGAAGCAAAGAGCAATTACAGAGCATGAAACATGAAAAGACCTATTATGTCAATTGCTCCTTCTCTGTCAGCCAAGAGGAAAATTTCAGAAGCTTTCTGCATCTGATTATAGTTATTAATGTCTGCTTATAGGCCTGTTTCCTTCTAAGAAGTCTGACTGTAATTATGTCTCTGCAAGTAATAAGGAGCCTCGTTGTGCTGTACAAGCTAATTTTTTCCCCATATGTTTCCTTCTCTATTAACAAGGTCTGAGCACAGCTGCTCCTCCTGTTGTTATCGGGCCCTCTGTTCGACCAGACACAGTACCTCTGCCGCCGGGAACACACTTGCTTTTTGCCCAAAGCGGTAAAATTGAACATGTTCCACTAGAGGGAAACAGTATGAAGAAAAATGGTGCAAAAGCACTCTTGCATATTCCAGTAAGTAGTTTACTATACTAAGTCCATGTTTTTTAGAAGATTCTTGATCAGAGATGAAAGCTACTATTTGTCGACATACCTCAACAATTTAAGTTGAAAACACAATTTTCACTCTTCATTAGAATTTCAGTATCCCATCAATTTGTTAGTGAAAATTTCTGACCTGATTAGTCAAAAGTCTTTAAACCAAAGATATAGAAAAAATTATTGTTTCCTTTTAAAGAATGGCTCACAATAAATCACAAGACAAAAATCTAATCTCACATGCCTCCAGCAGCTCTTCATATAAACTCCTCTCTATTCACACTTCTATTGACTTTCTGACTCTGGTATAAAAGTTTAGGAGACATCTGGTAGCAGTAGGTGATGAGGCCCTTTTTTCCATCCCTACTCCCTTAAAGTTTTTTCTTAAGTCTTAATCTATTCCTGTTTTTTTCCATCAGTTGTCTCTACTTCTTGGCTGCCCATATATTTTTCTTTCTTCTTTTTTTTGTTTCCTTCCCCATGCGTAAGCCCGGTGGGTGGTAGATCTTTTTCCCATGCTTCTTACTACTATCTCAAGAATATTTTTTTCCTAGAAAATGAATTCCTGATGCTGAGAACCTCTCTTTTCTACCACCTGTGTCACATACCAGGCCTTTTCACTGGCAGTTTCATCACATTCATTTGTTTTGTCCAAGGCCTAGGAATTCTGTTTTCATTCTAGTGTTACTTGATTTCTAACGGATGGCAATATCAAGTAGCACGCTGATCTCTCTTTTTATATATATATGTACATACATATTATACTGAGTAGTTATTAAATCAAATACTGACTAAATTACACAGATTCACTTCATCAAATAATACCATAAATTTCTGTGATGTAAGGGCAAAATCAAGGTTTTGTCCCTTACATAAAGTTCTTCTGCAATAACATAAACAAAAGTAAAATGCTGTATAAAAAATGGTGTAATGAGGTTGAAGGTGACATGATTCTGAATACTTGTCACCTAGTCTCATTATTTACTTGATCTAACTTAAATTAATCAGTTAGAAGTATCTTGAGGAAAGAACTTCCAAAAGATAAGATGCAATTCTTTCTTGAAACTTTCAATTAAAAGGAAACTTTCAGTCTCTACTAGCATTGTTGACTTTGTGTTGTCTGTGTTGAGCATTTGCAATGGTACCAGATGTGTTTAGATTGTTTTGCAACCCACAGGACGATGAATAAGTGCACCTGTTTTAATTCACAGGTTTGTAACATCTTTCTAAGAAGCTGCGTTGCAAAAGCAGCAACAGTGACAGACTTAGGAATCCATCTGCAACTGCTCCTTTACTGTGACAGTCTCTTTGATTTGTCTGGAGGAGGGAGTTTGAACTCTAAACTCAAACTCTAATCCTATCTTCTTTCTGCCTGAAAAATTGCATATAAATGTTTCTTGTAGCTGAGAATACTCCTTCCACTGCAATGATTTATGTAGTTTAAGCTAACTTTTATTTTAAAACCTTACTTTGCTAGAACTTTTTAGAGTCAAATGGTGCTATATAGGAAGTGCAGCCATAATGCATGACTTGGTCAGTGCAAGTCAGATTTGGTAGAAGTCATTATTCCCCCTTACAGGGAAAGAATGGGAGGAAAAAGGTACATGAAGGAGCAACACAGTAAAATGTCAACATGGACTTTCTTTAGATGTCTATGCAGGTGAAACTGTACAAGTCAGACTGTTCAGTACTAGTATCTCCAATGCTTCTTTGAAATAATGGTGAATGATATCTGCTAGTTTAAAGGGACTTTTAACAGGAAGTATTTTCCTAAGATATTTGACAATGACTGTTGCCCAGTGATTTTCTTGGCCTCTCCTCCCCATTTCCCACCTTTCCTCAAGGATTTTTTTTCCACAGGCTTGAGACTTAAAAGTATAATTTAATGCTGCTGATGAGTAACTTTTGTTCAGCCTAAGCTGATCTAAGTTGCCTGTTGTCCAACAGGACAGAGTTGTTATTGGAGTTGCTTATGACTGCGTGGACAAGATGGTTTATTGGACAGACATCAGCGGCCCTTCGATCAGCAGGGCCAGCCTGCATGGTGGGGAGCCAACAACCATAATCAGAACAGGTAACAGCCCAAAATTCTTTCTCTTGCTATTCTCTAGGGTTGGTATTAGACTTGAATTTGGTAATATGTACTTCCTAGGTGTTGCCTGAGCTAAGAGTTGTGTTTATACATTAACATGGAATACCATCAGAGGGTGTCTTTGATTTTTGTATCTAGCAAGCCAGATAAGTGCTGGATAGCTGAGATTTTGTTAAATGTAGTGGTTTTTTCTCTCCTGAACTCTGCCTGTCAGCTGAAAGGACTGGTGAGCATGGAGGCTGAAGAGAACTCCTTGGCTTGGGGATCAAACAGATGAAATGCTTCTAGAAACTATTTCAGCTGTGATTTTCCCATATCTGCCACTCAAGTTGGCAGTTGTAACATGGAAACTGAGTACAGCCACCTTGTTTGGTTTTTACCCTTCATAGTTGTTCAAGGATTTGAGAATTAGACTAGAGGGTGTTGTGGAGTTTGTGCTCATCCAGTTTGTATCTTGTTCTTATATTCTTTCCTTTAAGACTGCTGCTCACTGCAGTCCATGTTAATTTTCATTAGAAAGGTTAAGTACAAGCCCATGCATCTTGGATGATAAACCGTTTTATTGAGTGGAAAGGGCTAAGGGGAAGGACAGGTTTAGAGAATAAAGTGAATGGTTGGGGGAGGTGTCATTAAAAAAAAGCAACAGCAAAAGTAGCTGGAGCCACATTTTACATACTAGTGTCCTCAAGATCCTAGAACACCTGTGAAGTCAAGATACTGGAAGAGGTCACCTTTGCTTTGAATCCTTTGCAGTCATTGTTACAAAAACTTAAGAAATTATTTTAGAAAAATGATCAGCCAGTTATAAAACTCTACAGTAAATTTGGTTTTGTTTTCTTTGGATGTGTAGAGAATTGCTGCCTGGATATTGTGCTTTGGAACAGTCAGTTTGTAAGACTCCATCCAGGCTCTTAGGGACAGCATATATGTGGGGGTGGCTTGGATCCTACCATTGTCCTAGGAAGGAAAAAGGGAGAGCTTAAGGACATCCCTAACCATTACAGCAGTTATGGAGCTTCATATTTCTATACCACTTAGTGGCTGAGGTATTTTGTAAGACTTCTTTCTCTATCCCAACATATTTAATATAAAAGCGACTCTAACCTGCAGAGCAACCCTGTGCTTGCCTGTGCAGCTTAGAAACTGCAGGGAAAAGATTTTTGCTTTGCACTATTAATGAATTTTTTTCAGAATCTGCACTTCTAAAGATGGAGGAAATTACTATTGCTTTATAATATATATAATTTTATATGGATATAAAATAAAACATATAGAAATATTTTATTTATGCTGTATATAAAAAACTATATATATGTTTAATGAGAGTATGCATAGGCATTTAAATTCTTGCAGTGTATAAAATGTTGGAAAATTATTTGTGAAGGCTTTCAGCTAAATTTGATTGATTATTTAAGGTAATTCAAAATGCTTCAATGCCACATGGAAACTTCACCAGTTTTATCTGCTATATAAAATATTGTATGTATGAAGCTTTCTCACAAATTCTGTTGTTCTGCTGGTTGCACAGGATGTGAATGCTTTTCCTGAAGAGATTGGGAGAGATGTTGCACTTTACTTTTTGTACATTAATGGGCATTTCAATAAGGATTCAGATCAAAATAATATTGAATGTTCAGCATTCAAATTGATATTGCCTATGCAGGCCAAAACTGAAACTTTCAAATTTCATGAAATAGGAAAATGCCTCCCCTTCAGAAGACTCATGAGAATTTTTTGTTTTGTTTTGATCTTTGCCTTCCTCCTCCTGTGAGCTCCAGCTGCTTTCTTCAGTTCATGCATATTTTCGTGGAATGTACTACATTTTTGGTTGGGTTTTTTTTTTTAAGCTCTTGTGATCTGAGTTGTGCTGCTTTGCAGAAACACTATTTAATTGTGGAGCCCCATCCAGATCTCCTTTATCCCTGCAGCTGTATAGGCTGTGGAGGCTTTCTCACCTCTGCAGCTGGTTAGGAAAGAGAGCTTTCCTCTGCTGTAATTGCTTGAAGTCCCATCAGCTGTGCATGTCTGTAGAAACCTGCTCTCAGGAACAGAGCCTGTGACTGTACCAGGCTTGATGACAATATAGCAGGAACACATTTGTGCCTCTGGAAAGACTGGTGATAAATTAAGCCTTTAAATATTCCCTTACCCCTCCCTCCATGGGGGATAGTTTTTTTCTGGCTCAGCCACACAGAAGGGACATTTACTTTTTAGACTTCTATAAATCTCCTAACATATAACTGACATAAGGAAATTGAAACAAGGAAACTAGTCAGGGAGCAGGAACTCCTGAGGATCAGTGACAGCAAATCTTTTGCCTGCTACTGTCTTCTGTTTCCTAAAAGAGTCTGGGAGCTCCTCCAGAACATTTAGTCAGTAACCTTCTGATCCCAGAGACTGGGGACTGCTGCCACCATCACCTCAAAATGTGGCCACCCTCAGTAGACTCTGCCATTAGCAAGGAAAGAAGTAGGAACATTTGAGGGTCTGAAGTAAATGTGAGGTGGTTTCTTACAGCTGGCGGGTCTAACTCCACAGAAGCATTTAGAGAAATAAAGGAGTAATGTGAAGTCAGTATAACTGAGTCAAAGTGTGCCCAAAAGCACTCAGAAGGAGTAAAGAAATGCCTGACATTTACTTAACATTTACTTTTTTGCCCACCAACCCTTCCCTCTGGCCATGAGCTGTGAGTCAGAAACAATAAGACACATCTTGCTTGTTCCTTTCCACCTCTTCAGCAATTCATATAAATCTAAAATGTCATGTGTGCAGATAAAGTGGTAAGTGTAATCCATATGAGTGGGAGAGCAGAGGATGTCTGAACTATTGTGCAACTGTGATTCACAGCAACATCACAGTAGCAAAGTCCAGAAAGCCCTACCCAAAGTTCTGTGCCGAATGCCTTTTCTCCAGAAAGGTTGCTTGTGTCACATAATGTTTGTTTAATGGCTGTCAGTGAATAAACTTCAGAATTAAGGCTAGCAGGCCACATTCTATTCGATGAGTGGGTCAGCATTTGAAAGGTGCTTTTTCAACAGCTGGCTGGTGTAAAGGGTCATTTCCCCTCCTTTGAGGAGTAACCATGTACAATTATTTTCTTTTGGAACTGAAATTGAACCAAAAGAATTTATTTATTTATTACTTGTCTTTGACTTCCTTAAATTCCACATGGCCTGCCTGCTTTTCTTCAATGGAACCTTGAAAAAAACAGAGCAGTTTCTCATAGTGGCTGAATTAAACTTTATAAATTTTTTCTACATCCTGCATCCAAGTTAGAAATTACTAATGCCAGAGCAGTAAGGTCATTATCTGCTATTTCCTGTTGCTTTTGGAACAACTAACTGTCCAAGAAAAGCTGTGTGCATACAGTGCTAAAATGTGTTCAAAAAAGAATATCTCTGCAAAAACAAAGAACTGGATCTAGATTGCATCAGTTAGTTAATGTCATTGTCTCAAGTGTTTAGAGTTTGAATTCACTTAATTGTTGCATCAGGTAAACTTAGCACAAATTCAGTTTTCAGAGCGGTGCCATGTATGCCAGTACTAAAGAAGGAGAAATATTAAGGGTTATAAAATCCATTTGATGGCTTTCTAAGGATGGTAGAATAAGATTTTGACACTACCTGCTGTTCCTTTCTCTGTTATCAACTCCTTCTGTGTTTGCCCCTTCAAGTACAGTTTCTATGTGCAGCGAGTTTGTTTCATATGGAACTTTTCATTTTAGGTCTTTATGAGAGTTCTAAGTATTTAAACTTTGAGGTAAAATGCATGTTCTACTTCCAAGTGGTAAGTAAAAAGCAAAAGTAGCTTTTGCTGGACCACAGCCAGAACACTGAAGAAAACTTATCTCTGTTAAAGGTTATCCTTATGAGGCTGACACAGTGTATTGGGAATAAGTATAATACCTAGTAATGTTTTCCTCTGTTCTCCCACAGACTTGGGAAGCCCTGAAGGAATAGCTGTAGATCATCTAGGTCGCAACATCTTCTGGACTGACTCTCAACTGGATAGAATAGAAGTGGCCAGGCTGGATGGGCGCCAGCGTCGCATCCTTTTTGACACTGGCTTGGTGAACCCCAGAGCAATTGTCGTGGATCCTGTGAGAGGGTATGGATGTGTTGTCAAGAAACCTGCGCAAGCTTGATTTTATTTATCTGATTATTTAATGGACTGAGGAGACACCTGTGTTCCATGCAGAACCCCACTGATGGAGTAGGGTTCTGGGTTCAGGTCAAGCATCATGGACTTCCTTCTTATAGTAAATTGTGTGTGTGTTAGGGAGCAAGCAACAAAGGTGCCATTGAGGGGCCATGCATATTCTCAGGCACAGAATGTACATCCAAGGAAAAAAACCCTACCACTGAAAACTGGCTATTAATAGTAAAATGTCAGAGTTAATGGTCCTCTCTGGGGATCTCTGCTGAGGATAAACTACTCTGATTCCATTGTATGTTGCTTATTTGGTACACTGAAAAGAAAAATATTGTTTCAAATGGGTCCCAAATGTATGCCAAATACTCTTGCTTTAGCCTGAGCAGACATGATAGGAAGTGAGACAGAAGAACTCAAAATGTAGATGTACATTTTGAATGGCTCTCAGAAGTGTTGCAGTATGGGTCTTTTTGGCTGGCATTTTGATCATAAACTAAACAATGGGAGGAAAGCATTTCTTCTTATGTCTGTGCTTGCTCCTTTTGTTTTTAATGAAAGCATATTTGCTACATTTTTACTACACTTTTTTGACTTCTATATCGATGTGCAATATGGCCCTTCTTATTTATTTAAATTATTTAGGGGCTCTGTGTTACTTTTGTGTTCTTAGCATTTTCTTAACTACACCAATTTTTGAGATTAGTCCTTGTCTTAACTCTAGCCTTTTTCTTCTTCCTAAGAAACTTGTACTGGACTGACTGGAACAGAGAAGCTCCTAAAATTGAAACTTCATACATGGATGGCACAAACAGAAGAATTCTTGTTAAAGATGATCTTGGGTTACCAAATGGACTGACATTTGATCCTTATTCCTCAATGCTGTGCTGGGTAGATGCAGGTAAAGGGGGGCTAAAATATTTCTTCATAATAGTAGCAGTGTAAACATGTCCAATCCTGGAATTATGCACAGCCATAGCTTTTGGCTTTAATGATTTATTCATTACTATTCACATGGGACTATGCAAGCCGAAGGACTTCAATTCTGATCACAAAACTTTCTAGGAATGCAACAGATCTATGTCTGTGTGTCTTGTATGTGGCTATATTCTTAGGTAGTGCCTAGGGCTTTGTAGAAGTTGTTAATTTAAGACTAGGGGAAAACCACAGATTTATCTAATCTGCCTTACAGAGCACCATCCTGACACTATTGTTTTAAGGCCTGTACCCTGAGGCCAAGTCTGGTTTATATTTGACTGAAGCAAGTCTTGAAAAAGCAATGCACCCAAAAGATCAAGGGATTAAAGTTCTGCCACAAACCCATTGTTAGTTTTGTGACAGTGTCTTAGCAGTGGGTGGAGAAGAAGTGTACTTTTAATTCTCATTTACTTTTTATCTTTTGGCATCTTGCTGTCTTTCACCATGTAGAGTCTTTGCAGGGATGTCTTCCTGTGGAAGTGCTTTCACACTTCAAGTCATCTTTCAAATTTTTTTGACTGGATATTTATTTTACTGAATAAACTAAAATGCTCTCTTTTTCACTGTAAAACACTTTCTCCAACCTTCAAATGTATCTCCTTCTGCTATCTCTAGCTACTTTCTCTCTTTTCCTTTCTTGTTCTCACATTTGCATCTTCTCTTTTTTTTGTCTAATTCTGAAACACATTACTTAGGAAAAACCTACAGGTGTTTCCATTTATTAGCAGTATTCCCAGCCTGCAGTGGCTTTGCAGCTAGACCTTTTTACACCCTATTGGCATCTAGGAGTTAGATGTTCTTCCCACAGTCTCACCTTCACGGCCCAACCCAGCAAACACTTCAGAAACATGCTCACCAAGCAAACTTTGCAAAAATGTCTTCCAGAGGTGGAACCAGTTAACAGGTGAAGTACCCCTCCAGAATAGAGGAGGCCTTCTGTCAGCTTCCACACCACCCCGAGAATTCTGGAATCCATAGCAGGAATCTCAGCTTGTGAGCATTGGCCATGGCTGCTTGGGACATCTGTGTTTCTTTAACTTCAGTGTTGTGCTGAGTAGCATTAACACCAGAGTATTTATCCATTTGATTTTTGGCACATGCACACATGTGACATGGAGGAAGGCTTTGACTAAGCAGCACACTGAAAGATTTCCAGGACCTTCCACCCTGTACATGCTTGCATTTTTGTGCCTGTCTTTCATCCCTGATGAGAGCTCTCTTGTTCTGATTCAGAGGCTTAATTGTTTTACTACATCCAGGTACCAAGAGGCTGGAATGCATGAACCCTAATCAGCTTGGTCGACGAAAGATTGTTGAAGGGATTCAGTATCCTTTTGGTGTCACAAGCTATGGGAAGAATTTGTACTATACAGACTGGAGAAGGTATCTTATCTGCTAAAGAAATTATGGAGTACTTTTATCATTTTTTTCTCCCTGGTAGAAACTGAAGTATATATTGCATTTCTCATGCCTGACCTCTCACACATTCCTGTTTTGTTGCTTTCTTGGCAATAGCTGATGCAGGGTGGAGTGGATATGTAGAGCTGACCTATTGATGCTGCCAGTTAACTGAGTTTTCACTTTTTAGCATAGTGATTTGTCATAGAAGAAAATGCTTTTAACACTGAACATTCTTGGGAAAGGAGTGGGCAGTAACTTGTTTCTCTATAGCAGCTGCATTGTAGAGGGCAGACATTCATCACTCTTGGCTTTCTATGCCCTATATTATATGAAAGTTCAATCAAAAATAATGGAAAAAAAAGTGTTCACTATCTTGATGACACTCTGTTTATTGCAAATACTCTAAAAGGTTGCCATATGATCAACACTTAGAGGTTTACTTTAACTTCTGGAGAAAAAAATCCAGTCCCTGCATTTTAAAACAAATATTTATAGTTGATGTAAATGGTTTTATGGACTCTATCAGCAAACTCTTACCTAAATGCCTCTATCAATTACAGCAGCAGTAGCTATTCTTTTGGTTTTGTTTTAGTTTATTGACTGGTTGGTTGCAGCTTTTGTTGGGTTTGGGGGGGGCTTTTTGTTGTGTTGTCTTGTTTTCCTCTATGCTTTCACCTTCATCTCACTTCTGTATATTTCCTTCTGCATATGGCAGGGATGCTGTTGTTGCAGTGGATCGCACAATTTCATTAGAAAATGATAACTTCCAGCCTCACAAGCGCTCACGACTCTACGGAATCACCACAGCCTTTGCTCAGTGCCCAGGAGGTAATCCAGATGATTCCGGAGTTTTTACAGCTGTGTAACACCTTACTATATAAATGAACTTAGTAGCAGCTCCCATTTGTAAGCTGCTAAATGATTTGGGCAGTGAAGATTTGGGTTAGTGTTTAGGTTTCTGTTCAGTAAGAAATTAAAAGCCACATTATTTCTTTTCCATAAAAGCCATTGTTGTAGTTGCCACACGAAACCAGAACTGGAGGGGAAGAAGGGTCCTGTTTTATCCTTTGTGGAAGAACATATATGATTAAGAGGAGTTGTCAAAAATGCCAATGTATTGTCTTCTGAATTGAATGCTATATTCATGGCTAGAGCCTTATTCACTTATTAAGTTTAAACTACAGAAATAGTATGGTCTTCCAGATGTCCTTAATGAGATCCAGTGTTTTTCAAAATGGAATGTTCAGGAAACAGCAGGTGGTAGAGTGGCTGTACTGAGCTGGCCCTTCTGCTCTGTTGAATGTTAAGTTTTTCAGATATGCAATTGAAAATAGGAGAGAAAGCTGATACCCCTGAAATATAATTTGGTTTTTGTGAAGCAATATAATTGTGTAGTTATGTCATTCTTAGCAAATCACAGGAGAAGCATTCACTGTTTTTTATTACAATATGGCTGGAATTATAGGACTTACGCTATTTTTACTTTGGGACTGAAAAACCCCTTAGGATAGTTTCTCTTCAAATTACTCAATATATGCAATGAAAAACAATTTAGTTGAAGTTTTGTCTCACAGCTTAAAAATACATACAAATGTCACAATTAAGAAATCAGTTATATTGTTATTACTAGTTAATTCACAGATCCATTTTGATAGGCAGTGTAAAATTAAACAACACTGTGTGCTCTGAGTATATGCTTATATCTGTAATATTCAGGATCTTGGTGTAATTTCTTTCTAAGTCTTACTCAAGTCTGTTTCAAGTGGTTTTCTTGATGGATGCCTTTCCTCTCTGATCCACTGCTTCTGACACTGAGTTCTCTTTCATTTTACTCTTTAATGTTAACGATTCCCCAGCCACCCAATTTGTTTGTGTTTGTTTGTTTTCATGGATCATTCCTTTGTCTTTATATGGTTGGTATCTGAGGATGATGTTCTGTAGAATTTTGAACTTTGTCCCCACATTGCACTTCTCTATTTACTCCCTTCTCTTCATTCTAATATCTGTGACCATGTGGCCAGTTTATGAAGGGTATTTCAGGAACAGCCCACTTGATTTATTTTGCCTCTTTCACTCCAGTATCTTTATCTTTCTTTCATGTGAATGTCAAGTTGACACAAGGGATACAGTGACTCTTATCTCCCCAAAGCATAGTATTCTTCCACTCCTAATCTCATTACGGCTTGTTTCCCTAGTGTAGCCATCAATCTCAACATCTCTTTTACTTGTCTGTTTGAGCTTTTGTTGTGGGTTTGCATTTGTTTTTCTCTCAAGTTTTGCATCTCTGTTGTTTGTTTTTTTTCCAGGACATAACTACTGTACGGTGAATAATGGTGGTTGCACTCACCTCTGCTTGGCTACCCCAGGAGGCCGTACTTGCCGCTGCCCTGACAACACAGTTGGAGTAGATTGTATAGAAAGAAACTGAGCATTAAAATAAGCTTTAGAGCTGCAGACACCTTTTGGAAATGTGCTGTAAACAATTCACTCCTATCAACACAATCAGGCCCTAAAGATAAGTGCTCCATGCTGCTGACAGCAAACCACAATGCACGTATGCAGACACACACACACACACACACACACACAGAGGCAGAGGCTGTTTGTGCAACAGATAAGTAAGACAGGGCTGCCCAGGTTGGGTCCAACTTCACTTTATTCCTTGTAAAATTGTCTCTTTGCTTTTAAAGGTAAATGTGGAGGCCTTAGTTGCATCTGTCCCAGACAAGAAAGATGTGTCTCTTGGCGAAATTGAAGTAACATAACACAGGACAGAGTAAAGAGAGTGGAAATATTCAGATCCTGAGACTGAATTTTACCTTGGAGTGTGCAGCAGTTTTCTGCAGAAGTGGTATGCTTAGCCCATCATATATGTGTTTGGGCTTTATCTCTAGCTGAGAAAAAGTCAGGGGGTCCCAAGGATGAAAAGATAAGGGGGAATACCCAGCTAATAGCACATATTTACTGCCCAACCACATTCCTTCTCACTACCAGTCCTTTCACTTCAAAAACTTGCATCTCAGTTTTTGACTTCCGTACTATGGAAGTACTTTATCCATGTGTTGTAAGAATTATAATTCTCACTCTGGCTTGTGATCCTTTCCTACAGCACATGATTTGTTAAAGCTAATCAGCACTGTTTAGTGGATATATTTGAAGTTTTTGTTAGGTTTTAAGAGATTTATCTTTCTTCTGTTTGAGGTGGATTCCTGAGTAGTTCCCTAAAATCCACTAAACAAAATTCAGATATTTTGAACAATTGCTGGTAGGTCATCAAAGAATGGATGTTGATTCATTGGGAGACAAGTGGTTTTAAAGAGATAGTCACATTTGTTTTCTGAGAGGTTTTAAAATAGTATTTCTACGTTTGATTCTATAAACCTCAAAGTGGACTCAGAATTTTACCTTAGCAATCTTTCTTCTTTAGCAAACCATGCCATGCCTTTTCATACCATAAGAAACCATGGCAGTTAAAATCTGATTTTCAGAAAGCTCACCTCTGGTTTGGTGCTTAAAAGCAAAAAATATAGTCGTGCCCCATTTATGTGCCAGTGAGAGCAAAAACGGTGTTATGAAAATCAAAGTGAAGTTGATGTTTTCATCATCTCCAGTACGTTTGGAGAGGAAAAATCTAAATGCATACTTATATGTCAGATTAGCAGTACAAATCTAGGAGTGGTTTGGTTTCCCCACTGTGTGTTGGGAAAGAAGCTTGCCTACAAACCAATGTGTGGCAGAACAAAAGAGGGTTTGTGAGGCTCCTGCCAGAGCACATTTCACTGTGTCATGATCAGAGCAGTAAGTTAACATCCCCATTTCCTCATTCCCCTTCAGACACAGCAGTCATAGTTTTAAATAGAGCCAATTCTGAGTCTTAACTCTGTGACATCTTCCTCTTTTATTTTATATTTATCATAAAAAAACCCAAAACATATAAACATTTTAAAGATCTTTTTGTATAACTTTTTATAACTTTTAATTCATTCTATTCATACACTTAATCAGGTATGTCTTAATGTAAATATCAAAAATTTGTTGAAATGAAGGTGCTTGATAATTCTTTCTCCAGAAGTATTCACGTATCTGGTGAAATATTAAAGTTTACACTCTGTACAGGTATCTATAGTACAGTCAATAAAAATGGTTGGTTTTTATTTTCTATAAAAAATGTCATGCCTGTAGAAGGAAGTGATATGTGGTGTCTCAAATACATTCTTTTGTTGTGTTCTGGGTTTTAGCTAACTCATATCTAGTGATGGTACCTCTCTTCCAAGATGCAGCGTCATGGGAGAAAAAACTGCTGTTGGGGCTTTGTATTCAGGAAGCAGTAGGATGCATCAAAACAAATACATGAGAGCGCTTGAAGAACATAGGGCATTTTTTGTTTTGGCTCAATCCTTCTGCTGGTTGTAAATTCTTGTTTACCTTTGTCAAGTAAGCATAGTTCAGTTATCCCATACTTCAGACTTCTAACAGTGAAAACATAGAACAAGGACAAGAATAAAAAGGGGTAGAATTCATCCCTATGCTCAAAAATGCCCCAGTACTGGATTTCTGGGTGATAAGGTGCTTAGTAAGGAGAATATTACTGGGATCCAAAGGGTGGCATTTGGAGGTACAGCAGGAGATTGTTGGTAATGTGTTCTGGAGACTGCATGTGGAATTGGACTGTATGCATAGAATTAGTTTTTTTTTTTAATTTGAATTAACACTGTTCCTCTTCAATCATTATAATGATTATTAATGTACTAAACACTAGTCAGCTAATTTTCTGCAAATCAATTAGCAATGACAAAGATGTCAAGGAAAATATACCTCAGCAGAACTTCTAGTGTTGATGTGTGAGTTTCTGAGTAGTCTGTAGCACAAACAGAGAAACAATATTAGTGTGGACTGAGTTTTTAGACTGAAGAACTCGGATATCATCTGGGATTAGGTAGCACAAAACTAGGGGAAGCTTCAGCAGATCCACATCAGTGATGTAGCTGTGACTACAAGTCACAGCTTGTGTTTGTAAAGGTTACAAAACTTCAAACTTTTCACAACTTCAGCATTCCAGTCCCTAGAAATGAGGAATTTTTAAAAACCTTTAGCATGATGTTTTGTTTCTCAGCTAATGCTTGTTCCTGACTTCAACTGCTGTAGCTCAATGCCAAAGTACAGCAAGGGCAAAGCTGTTCCCTCAGGGAAGGAAGCCATGGATTTTCCAGCCATGGACCAGTCCCACTGTACCCCAAGTGAGGCAGACAGTGCCAGTGAGGGTAACTGGATTCAGCCCAGGGACCAGAACACCAAGCAAATCTGCAGTGGGAAGAGCAGGTCTGAAGTCAAGCTGGGAAACTGAGTCAGGACCATTGATCATAATCAGGTTTGGGCATATGACCAGCATCAGTGATTACCAGCCAAGTGTACAGAGGTGGGGCAGGCCCACAGCCACACTGGGAGGTTAGACAAGACCTGAATCAATGGGGTTGCCTGGCTGTGGCACAGCTCAGGCAAGGACCGGGGTGACAGCCCCAGCTTAAAAGCATCCTTTAAGAGCAGAGAAAAGGGGTTGCCTTCGCTGAGAACCACCAACAGAGCTGTTTGAGGATGAGCCTCTGTTGAAGCTCCCTCAAGTTTTCTTCACATCTGGTTTGGCCTTCAACAGCCAGCTAAGCTGCTAGTGCTTGGGTAGTCTCTGTGTGCTGGCTCTCCAGAGTTCTCTATTCCTGTATCTGTTTGCTTTCTCATTGAATCTTGCTTAATCTTTGGCCTCTAAAATGATCTGTGGTGTTGAGTTCCTTATTTTAATCTCAGTCTGGCTAGGAATGCCAACTTTTGATGACATACTTAGCATTAGCCACTTGAGGATATTCTTCCTGTGTCTATCATGTTTTCTCGCTTCAACACTCACAAGTATTTTGGATGCTGAAAATGTGAATTTTCAGTTTCCTTCTTCTAACACTAGAGAGTTAATGGTATCTTTCTATAAGAAAGATATTTCACCTACTCTGTCATTTTTCTAACTGTTGCTTGTTCAACCATTCTAGACTCGCCTCAGGAGCAAGTAAATTTCAGATATATTTTTACATTATGTTTGAGGTTAAAGAGATAATGGAAAATAGGATCTTTTTTTTAATTATTAATTTTTCATTATTATACTAGGTTGGGGCTGGTAGTCATACTAGTCTCTGGTTGAAGAAAAGGTTCCGTGTAACTGCAGTTCAACGGGTTTTTGCTACAAAAATCTATAGTTTCCCAGGTTTTCCAGGAATGAAGAACAATTGCTTCAATGTTTAAACAAAAGACAAAATACTTCCTAGAACTATTCCAGAGGTAAGTTAAGTGTTTTCTTAAATGCCTCCAGTCAGATCTTCCAGCACACTCAAAAATATTTACTAGTAAGATTATTAATGATGGTTACCATTCTTGTAATAAGTAGCAAAAAAGTGAGACTCCTGAAAGGAGGAGTGGCTTCCTCATGGCTTAATTGGATGGTTTGGCTACCTTTCCATCTGAAGGGTGTTCGAAAACCCAACTTTACTCACTTTTTAACTTGCAAATAACCTTCCTCATGGTGAAAATCCAGTGTGGCTTTCTGGAGCTCAGCATCCTGGCCAGTGTGTTGTCCCAAGCTGACAAGCTGTTTACTCTGCAGTTATCCACTTGCACAGTTTTGTCAAAACATATTAGATTTTTAACTTGCCAGCATATGATTAAGAATGACAGATGATTACTAGAGGATAATGGCCTCTCCATGGCAGTGTCACAATGCATCAGTTTAACCTATGGTTAAATGCAAACTGGGGGAGTTTATGTAAGATTTCATAACATATTCCTTGGAGAATTTGCTGGGGAGGAAAAAACAAAAACCAAAACAAACAAAAAAAAGCCAACAGGATGTGAAACACCTATGTCTATAGCGAATTGTGAGAAGCCCCCTGCTTGGCCTGTCTGTAAGAATGAAATATTACTTCCAGAGCCTGAGTCACCAGCTGGGTATGCGGCAGGCGATTGTTCATGAACTGATTGAATCACTTTCTTTGTTTAAATTCTAGTCTAGTAGAAGTCTGTGTTTTATCTTATTTATAAGTTTAGGATAGCATGGCAGTAAAATTGGTGAAAGGTCAGCATCCTACAAATGTACGTATTGATGAGTCTGGAGCTTTGCTTGACAAACAGAGGGCTCTGCTGGCAGTGGAATGCAGTGAGTGACCTTCCCTGCTGCTTTGTGGCAAAGCAGATTTGACTGCAGTAACTCAATGGGGTTTTTGACCACAAGGATTCTGGAGCTGAAGAATGGGGACAAACTGCCATTCCCACAAAAAGCCAGGATGCTGTGTTTCAGCCTTTGGCTTCTTAGTCTTCAGCATTCACCAGAATCCATTTGGTTCGTGGTGGTGTTGCTCACTCCAAGCAGGCAGTGTGTTCCTACTCGATGGGGTGTCTGGAACACACAGGAAGCACAGAGAGGAGCTGTGTAGTGTGAGGCCTTTGACATGAGGAAAATGGTCAGCTGTACAGATGTCAGTGGACCATGGCAGATGGTGCCTCTGGATCTCACCCAGTAACTAGCATAGCAGCATTGGGGAGATATTCCCAGGAACTTTCCAGGGTTATAGTGAAAGGGAAGATG